TTGAAAATTTGACGGTGCTGGTAAATAATATTCAATCGAGAAATTTCTGGATGACACACTGGCTTCTTAACATCTGACTTTAACCTTGAATTCATCAAAAAATACTCGTCTTTCGCCGAAACTTAATTTGTTTTCTATCGTGTAAATGACCACTTTCAGAATATCGGCAAGAAGTTCACTGCACATTTCAAAATTATTTATGTGAAAGTCATTGTGGTTGTCATTTGAATCAATAATAGGGAGTTTTTCAGGTTCAGAGTTAATATAAATGAGATCGGGACTCTTATTAAAACAATTTGGTGGAGAACCTACACACGTATCGTTTAAATCAAAAAGCCATCTACGCTTCTTATTTTCGGGGTTGTGGGTATAATCTGGATCACTGTCCGTACCGTCGAAATCAGAAGGAATATCCTCATTTTCATCGTTAAACGCTGCCTCCCTAAAATTTGTTTCAGTTTAATGCATGAAATAAGGGTTTACGTACCTAGTTGTTGGTGGGAAAATTAATTATATAGGTACATAGTGTATTGATAGAGGTCCAGATTTACGTTTAAGGCCCAACGAGTTATTTTACAAATTTGAAACATAGTTACGGACAAAAATTTCAACATGATAGTATTATACTGTTCTTAATTATTATAATTCTAATTACTCACATGCACTCCTAAAGTGAGTTGTTACCTCTCAAGACACATACGCAGTATTCTTTTTCCTCTATCCACGTTAATTATCGAGGTTTGTTAGCAAACTGGAGCACTAATAACGTCTTTAAAGCAATTCACAAACACGTCTGAATTAATCTGAACAAGAGAATAACACTGCTTCAACGGAAATTTTTAAAAGCTAGCAACACAAAAGATAAGTAGTAATTACTACCTAAAGGTAATAAAATTGAAACATATAAATCTGCAAAACCTAGTAACTCGAGTTTCCAGTTTCTATAGACGTATAGGTAGATATTTTTACAGATACTAAAAAAATGAGAGACGCAAATAAGTAAAAGTGTACGCTTTTATATTTAATAAATTTAAGTTGGTATTTTTTACTTCTTTGCTACCTGTTATCTTCCAAAGCCACGATGACTCAAACCTTATACTTGTCCATCGTTCCTACCTGGGTTGGAAGTATGCACTGACAAATTTTCAACTTTTATAAAATGACGAAGGTCGGGCGACCGCGGGCTCTTGCTCTATTATTGAAATGACGTAGTGGACGGATTTCTATTCGATTGCTCTTCCCTGTAGGGATCAAAGGTTTAAAATTGGTTGATTACACGTTCATATAGGTATCTCTGAACTCCTAACAGCGTTACAAAATCAGTAAAATAATAATGTGACGTAATAGTCGTTTTATTTATTTAAATCAATTCAAATACATTTAAATAAATTATATGCAGCATTCTCTGCAGAACCATAATTTAGTGTTACGTCTCTTGGTTTATCCTGTACACCGAATATGCCTCCATATAAGATATCCACTACAATGAAGAGCTACATAGTTTTTCTGTCTCTATACTGCCTGTAGGTCAAAACCAACAGGACTAAATCCGTTTTTGCTCAACGATATTGAAAATTTTTCGAAAGGCTCCTTCTGTACAGAAATTTCTGAAAGAATACAAGTTGGTGTAACCACATTGTTGGTTTTACAATACCCTATAATGCTTACCTAATCAAGTGTAGATCAATTGCCTCATCAAGTACAGAATGAGGTATTCTTGCCAAAATCGTTTCAACATCTGCTTTTTCATCTATATTACCATTTCTGATACCTTTAACGATTTCATAGTTTACAAAGAAATTTAGAATATAATCTTGTTTTTGTTAGTAAGAGTTTTTTGAAAACTCTATGGTTTTTCTTTCCTTTTTTTTTTTGGTGTTCCTATAGTGGTTAAATCTTGTCTTTTTGGGCGGCCTCGTTTTTTTTATTGAAACTGGCAGATCATTTGTTTCGACCATTTCACATGATTGCCTAGTGTCTTCACTTATATCTAAAAGTTCTGGTGGTTTATTTATATCTTGTATGATCACCTCATTAATTTCATGTCTCTCGGCCACATGTGAAGAGTTTACTTCATCAGTCCTTGCAAGACTGCGTTCAGGAAGTAACGGCTCCATATTTTGAAATACAACTTTGTCTTGGCTTTCAATTATTTGAGTATACGGCATGTCATTTTCGCCTCTAACATCTATGGGCGCTAGTGCAACACTAACAACATTGGCCCACAGTGTCTTGAGGTTTTTTAATACTTTGTGCCTTTGCTCAAATAACATGCCTGTACGCTGGGCTGCTAGGCCAGCCAGTTCCGTGCAAAGCAAAAGACATTTCTTCCTTCGTTGGCTGAAAGTATTTGCTGATTTTGACCGATGGTGACTGGTTAGCGATACAGTATCACTAGTATTGCTAGATGTACTGGCACTTGGGAATTCATGTTCTGTTGGCCCGCTTTCTTTAGGTAAGCACTTTAATGTTTGTTGTTGGTCTTTGTAATACGCTATTGTCCATCTACAATTGACAAGAGCTGGGTCAAAGAGATCTATACTTAAATATCTTCTTAGAGCAAAAATATGCTTGCAAGGTAAAATCATTGCATTATGTATCACACTTTCGGAAGAAGACGTTGTAGTCTTCGTAGATCCCTGACTACCAGTAATAATACACTGTGTCAATTTTAAAACTTGCAATCGGTAATATCTCTCAACTGAAAAGGTTACTGAGAATCACTCAAAACCGTTTTGGTGTTTCAAAGGGGAATTAAAATAGCATGGTAAGTGCACCGCGCACCCTTGAAAATAATAAAAAAATGAAAATTTGAAGTCTTTATTTTTAAATAATTGGAAAAACGGCTTTACCAAATAGGCTGTTGTATGACATTTTTGAAAAGCGCTGGTTATGAGCTTTCATGTATCACAAGTAGGGTCGTGCCATTTAAAATTTTCAACTTTAGGTGGCTGTGGTTTCAAGGGCGGGTGAGGTGCGTTGCTTACCATGTCATTTTGATTCCCCCTAGGAACTATCGAAACGGTTTTGAATGAATCTCAATAACTTTTTCAGTTCTAGAGATATTGCCGATTGCAAGTTTTAAATTGACACCCTGATTATTTCACAGCTTGTATGTTCGTTGTCCACAATTGCGAAGGCAATTTGCTCTATCTGTGGTGCTCTAAATCGACGTTCGTGTTCTCCAGATGGTCCTTCGTCGGCTCGAATTACAACTTTATACTCATCGCAAAGCATTCTGTCTAGTGCTGTTTTGAATATGTGAACCAGTTAATTGTATTTGTGTAAAATTCTCTGCACATCTTGAATGATTTTCTCGTTTTAATCCACTGATATTTGGGCATTGTTAATCAATTTGTGTTTCTTCATTTGCGATGAAATATACTTGCAGAAGTGTATGGTCTTCATTTGGTAGTGGTAGCAATGATTCCATTTTGTGATAAATCTGTCCTTGGATAGAGAAAACATAATCGATATCGTCTTTGTTAGTGTTTATGGAGCTAGCACCAAATGAAGTCATTTGGAAGCAGGTATTGTAGGCTTTTATATTTTGTAGATAATGCTTAGATTTTTAGCGTTGCAAAATTGGCAGATATTATCCATCACGACGTGTTTGTGTTTCTTATATTCTTTCGTCTGATCGTAGAGGAATCTTTCATTTGTTAGGTTGTAGTCTTTGCTCGACCTCGATTGTGCTTATCTTACACTGATTTTTTTTTTGAGTAGCGTGTTTTCGTCGCTTTTTATAATACGTTCGTTTCGCAGTTCACGTTTCCTCCATTCGCTGATTTCGTTGTTCTTAGGTTTCTGTATCTCTCACGGTGCCTATTATTGTTCGTTGTGAACCTAAACATGCTCTGCGTTTTTCCTCCGTTTCATTTTTGGTCTGTTCTTTTTTTCGCTTCCAAACTGGCAAGATCTCCTCCTCTCTTACGTTTTGGCAGATGTCGAAGTCGAAGGTTAGTTATGTTTATGTGTGAAATGTCAACGACGTAATTGCGTTCTGTGGCTCGAGGGCTCAGGGTTTGCGCCTACCGCCTTGTTCAAGTGAGGACAATGATCGTCGTGGAACATTTATTCAGAACATTCTGGAGTGTTGTGCAATTCTCTCGACTGCTCAGGAAAGGTGTATTGTTCTGCTCAGGAAAGGTGTATTAATGGTTGCATAATTTAGGAAAATTCTAGAAGGCGAAACTTATCTCGACAACCAACCCCGACAGGTGAGAACGGAAAACTTTATCATGGATGGACGAGAGAAGGCTACTACACCATATACCGGATTTTTAATAATGTAAAAAATTGATTATGCGCTATAACTAAATTTATAACAGGTTGTTTCACCTCTAGACTGAATAACAGCTTTCATTCTATGCGGTATGATTTCGAAAAGGTTTACAATGTATTCTTGTGGGATGTTATGCCATTCTTCTACAAGAACTGCTTCCAACTGTTGGAGAATTCTAAAAACCATTCTGCGGCCGAAATACACGCTGTTGAAGGGTGTACCATACATGCTCGATTGAATTTAAATTAGGACTGCGAGCTGCCCACCCCATAACAGGTGTCTCAATTTCTCTGAGGTATCTTTGCACTATGTGCGGTCGAGTATTATCGTGCATATACACAAAATCTGGACCCATAAATGAGCTGTACGGGATAACATGCGAGTGTAGAATGTCTGTAATGTAACGTACAGCCGTCCCAAACCATTTCCGAACCTCCACTGAACTATACATTAAGAACAATGTTACATTGAAGATATCGCTTCCCAGATCTTTTATACACCGATATTCTTCTATCATTTACATGTTCTCTAGTGAGGAGTGGTGCTTTTACAGGGACACGAGCCCGTATATTGTCTTCACGAACACGGTTTCTCACCGTTTGCACAGAAATTTCCACATTTCGGGCAGGTAACATTTCTCTTTGAAGCTATCCAGCAGTGCAATGTCTAGTACAGAGCACTGTTATGCGCAAAAAGCGATCATCTCGCACGGATATTACCCTTCGACGGCCTTGTCCTGGTCTTCTGTCAATACTTCCAGATTCTTGGTGTATTTGGGCCAGCCTAACAATGGTGACATGGTTAACACCGAGGACTCTCGCTGACGAAACGAGCCGCGTAGCGGCGAGTTGAGGAATAAATAAGTGCTTGAAGAACCTTCTGCAACAAGTGCTTTATATTATTTTTTTCTATTTTGCCGCTTTATATCATTTTATAAATTAAAAAACGAAAATTTTATTTTATTTGTTTTCTAGAGAATTTTGCGATGGTTATATACAGGGTGTCAATTTTAAAACTTGCAATCGGCAATATCGCTGGAACTAAAAAAGTTTTCGAAAATTACTCAAAACCGTTTCGGTGGTTCCTAGGGGGAATCAAAATGACATGATAAGTGACGCTTCTCCGCCCACCCTTAAAGCCACAGCCCCCCAAGTTGAAAATTTTAAATCGCACTACCCTACTTGTGATACATCGTTGGAAAGCTCATAATAATCGCTTTTTAAAAATATCAACAACAACCTATTTGTTTTCCAATTATTCAAAAACAAAGACTTTACATTTTCCATTTTTTTTATTACAAAATTATTTGATGTAATAAAAGAAAAATTATTGTTATTTACAAAATACACAACCAAAAAGATGATTTCAACCCAATAAAATGCGTTTCATGTTTTGTGTCTGTTTTTTTTTTCTTTTGAGTCTTATCAAAGCTGGCAAAGCAGCCTGGTTTTTGTATCGCTATGCTGATTTTGATTACATTGATGTATCTGTCTTTGTAAATTCCATCGCCGTCTCCATAGAAATAATCCTTTTCTCGCCTGCGCATTTTTTGAGTTCAACTGATTCCCGTTGGCGCTTTAATCTGGGGAAAATTTTTGACAAATCCAGTTTTTTAGCTTAAAGGGTTCAACCTCATAATATTAATTCTCCCTGGTGTATCTTGTTTTGTTATATCCTTCCTTCCCAGCTTTTATTAATTGCGTTATTTTTCGTTAATAATTAAAACTCATTCAGTTTTTCCTTAGTAACCCCCGTAACTAAGAAAAAATCGGAATCACTGCTCCAATGCATTTTTTACGAAATGCCCAGGCGGGATATTGATACATTTGATTAAGGAGGCGGTGGTAAATTCTTATACCTATTTATGGTTCTGAAAATCGTTGTGCTCTTCGAACGGCTGCAGTCTTTAATAACAAATATCCAGGAAAACATGTCAGTCATGCGTACGTCCAGGAGTTAGTCCCCAAATTTGAGGAAACAGGATCTGTTAATAATAAAAAAAGAAGTCAACCAAGACTACTGACTGAGGAAACTCAAATTGAAGTGCTTGGACAATATGCCATGAATCCAACAATGTCGACTCGTCAGGCAGCTAGAGAAACTGAATTGTCACACGAATCAGTACGAAAGGAGTTAAAACTTCATAAATTTTATCCCTATAAAATGCAAGTTCTCCAAGAACTTGGCCATGACGACCCGGATCGGCGCATTGAATTTTGTGAAGTGATAACTGAAAAATGTTTTACTGAACCATTATTTGTAAAAAACATTTGTTTTTCGGATGAATGCTCATTTTATTTAAATGGCAATGTAAATAAACAGAACTGCAGGTATTGGTGTGATGCAAACCCTCATCTCTTCAGAGAAGGACATACTCTGTATCCCCAAAAACTAAATGTTTGGGCTGGGATACTAGGAGATGCCATTATTGGACCTGTGTTCATTGATGGCAATTTGAACGGCGAAATATACGCTAATGTGCTGGAGACAACCATCGAGCCTCTTATTTTTCAGGAGCTTGATAACAAAGTAGACGAACTGGGAAATCCCGGATTAAGTGAACATTTATTGCATTTTCAACAAGATGGAGCACCTCCACACTATGTACTTCCGGTTAGGGAATGGTTGGATAACCACTACCCAGATCAATGGATTGGGAGAAGAAGACCTATTGAATGGCCTCCTAGGTTACCTCATCTCACACCATTGGATTTTTTTATGGGGTTATTTGAAGTCTGTGGTTTACAAAACAAAAGTAGACTCACTTGAACAACTGAGACAAAAAATAACTCAAAGAGTGTCGAGCTATTCGTAGAGAAACTTTTCAAAACGTTCGTGAAGAATTTGAAAACAGGCTCTATTATTGTTTAGCAAACAACGGAAATCATTTCCAACATCTAATGTAGCACTTAATGAAAATTAATCACTTACACATTGTTGCATTTTATTTTTCAATTAGTCAGAAACGACTTCATCACATTACTATGTTATAGGTGGTTAGAAAGCATTTTTTTAAGAGCTTTTAAACATTTGAAGTGTTTCTTTTTAAGTAATTGAAAACGGCTTTAACAGATAGGCATAGCGGTGCACAAACCAGGCAGTTTTGCCAGCTTTGAAAAGATTCATAAGACAAAAAAACATACACAAAACATGAAACATTTGGCTTGAAATCATCTTTTTGGTTGCGTATTTTATAAATAACAACAATTGTACAATTGTTCTTTTATTACATCGAATAGTTTTATAATAAAAAATGAAAATGTAAAGTCTTTGTTTTTGAATAATTGAAAAACGGCTTTACCAAATAGGCTGTTGTTAACATTTTTGAAAAGCACTTGTTATGAGCTTTCCAACGATGTATCACAAGTAGGGTAGTGCCATTTAAAGTTTTCAGCTTGGGGGGCTGTGGCTTTAAGTGTGGGCGGAGAAGCGTCACTTATCATGTCATTTTGATTCCCCCTAGGAACCACCGAAACGGTTTTGAGTAATTTTCAATAACTTTTTTAGTTCCAGAGATATTGCCGATTGCAAGTTTTAAAATTGACACCCTGTATATTTACGGTTAAATATATTTTTCTATTTCGGTGTTCGAATAAGTCGTTCGTGGTAATTTAATTTTAGTGACGGACTTTCTTCACAATTTTCAATGTGAAAATAAGAATAATTTTTATTTTTTACAGCCGCCTAAAATTATTCCACACATAAATGTCGCCAACCGTCGCAAAATTCTCTAGAAAAAAAAATTTAATTTTCGTTTTTTAATTTATAAAATGATGTAAAGCGACGAAATAGAAAAAATAGTATAAAGCACTTGTTGCAGAAGGTTCTTCAAGCACTTATTTGTTCCTCAACTCGCCGCTTCGCGGCTCGTTTCGGAATTTCAAATTTGTGCTTGAATACCTTCTGCAACTTGTACTTTAATATACTATTTTTTCTATTTTGCGTTTATAATAAGTCTATTGCAGCACGCAAATGACGTCACTGGAGTGTTGGAACGTAGCCATCGTTAAATAACTAGCCATGCTGAGAGAAAGGCAACGCCGCAACTCTCAACGTGAGCGGACCGATGCGATGCCACTATCGTATCTGACAGCGTACTCTCAATATTTTAACGACAAAATTAACGAGTGAAAATGGAAGTAATGAAAGAAATTGGAAGTAAACCCCACTTAGTCAATAAATTAAATTTCTCACCTTCTGCTAAAATAAAGATTATTATTATCAAAAAATTCAATTTATTGTTCAGCAAGAACCAACGGGAAGGTGTGAGGCTATCTCTTGCCATGAAAAAATAAAAATTAATTATGTGATTAACGTTTATTTTTATCAAAGAAATAAAAGGTGTTGATTTCTTTTAATTGCTGATATCTCAGGCGAAAATATTAGTAAATATTTTTATCTATTGAATACCATAGAATTAAATTTTTAATATTCGTTTTTTGAATTATCATAATTTTCAACCTTAGCCACATAATTAATTGGAAGCAGAAATTTTAAGGGAAAAGATAAGATAAAAGATACAGATTGTTCAGAAATGTTTCTTCATCAAGTCGACTATAGAATCCAAATTCAATATGCCACCTCATATAAATGCCTTTTGTAGTTTCGAAGTATCATCTCTATCAAATCTCTAACAACTAAGCTTTCTTTTTTTTTGTAGTGTTCAGTAAAGTAGTGAGAAAACTTTTTTATTTTCTTCTGGTCCTCTTAGTATCGTGAATCAAATAACATACACTATCTAAACAAACACATAACGATTTTTTAACTACTACTACTCGAAGTTAAAAAAACATTTAGTGTTCGAGTAGATAGTGTGTGTATTTCTTTATTTTGAAAACTAAGCTTTTGTCTATTTTCTGCATTATATTTTCGTGCTTTCTGTTGTATATCCTGTCGTTTTTAGATTTGAAGCCTTATTGCGTTAATTTAACGCATCCGTCACTTATAACAGCATTTACATAGGCGGCACATATAAGTTTTATGGTGCTATTCTGTAAAAAAAAATACGTGCTATAGCGCGTATAACTCTTTAAGCTATCGACTATAAGTAAAAATCGAATTCTTTAAGGAAATATTTCTCTATACCTAAAATTCTATAAGCTTATAGTCTCTATAAAGTTATGGCGAGAAATTTGCTGACCGTAAAGACTTATAGTCTCTATAACGATATATTGTCATAGTAACAATGTCACTCCTCAATAATTTATTATAAGTACTTCTCTCCGTATTTCGCCAGTGATGCTAATTTTTGTTCTCTTATAATTATTGGTATCGTGTAAAGTTAATAATAAGTACATAGTTCAGTGATGGATCGTAATAATATTGCACTAATTGCATTATATTTATTATTAAATGAAGAAAAAAAGAAGGTAATGTTATGGACAATAATGAGCTTCTTACTACAAAATCTTTAATAAGAGTGTCTATTTAGAAAAAAGTTATTTTGTAAAAGGTACAAGCAGGTTTTATGAAAATCGGTAATAAATTTTTGTGTAATTTATTAATATGAGCTCAAAGTTGATGCATTTTCTAAATTCTCCTTCGGCTTTAGTTTCAAGATTGTTACTTCTTCAACTCGTTCTTCAAAAACGTTGCAAACAATCCTACTAATTTAATTACGTTTTTTTCTCTTTGATGTTTATGTTGTATTCTCATTAATTTCTTACTAAAAATTAGAGAATGTTTAACAAATCTACATTACAAATTGTGTCTAAATTTTAGCGGTAGTCTTTTTCTGACTTTTCGTCTTCAAATTTCCAAAAACTGTTCGCGATACTCAATTTGTTCCCGTTTTTGTGTTTTCATTTCTAAATTTTCTTAGACGATTTTTTTGCTGAATGCCGTTTTTTATTAATTAAATTAAAAACTGGAACTGCCAACATCGAAAAATTACCATGAATAAATTTGTTAAGACTGTTTGATATTTCCACTTAATAAAAAACAGACTTTAGGGTAATTACAGCGCTATAACTCGAATGTTTACTTAGAGAATACCAATTTTGATACGATTCTATAAGGACTTTAAAAAATTTATATACAGAGCTCTATTAGCTATGGAATATACCAGCTTATAGACTATAGCAGATTTTTAGAAAATAGCCTAACTAAATTGAAATAGATGACTCGATAAAAAAACATTACTCCTAAATAGTCTGTATAAATGTAAAGTTAAGGAAAGATATCAAAGTAGAAAAGCAAATAACAAAAAGAGAAACAATAGTTATAAAAAAACTAAAAATTTATTCTAAAAAATTTAATTTAAGAAAATTCTCCTAAAAAAAA